CCTTACCCTTCGCCCGCTCCCTCTGGAGTCTAGCGCCCACCCTTGGCAGGGCACCCATGATCACAGTCTTTGCTTTGTTCCCCTGCTGACGACAGTTCAGCTAGCAGTGACGCTTTGACACTGAGGCCACCAATTTGGACCTGCCCCAGCGACTGCCCCTCTGGCTCTGCTCCGTGGACATAAGGTGTGGCCATGCCGTTTCTGGAACCAGTGGTCTGAGCCCGAAGGCCTCTCTCCAGGCCTTTCTCAGGGATTCCCCCACCCCGGAGGCTGTGGCCTAGTGACTTCCCAGCCAGCTGCACTGGCCCGAGGCCAGCTCTGTGGACAAGCTGCAAGCCCACCCCCCGGTCTGCACCAGGGAAAGTGAGTGAGCCATGACAGTCACTGTCCGGAACTTGTCACAGCCGAACGTGAAGTGTTTAGCAATTTCCAGCGCGATCTTTGGGACGCAGAAAGCGATGGAGCTCTAGGTGGAAGGGAGTCGTGAACGCTCCCAGGCCCGTCCGGGGATTTCCCTGCGGGCTCCGATCTTGCCTGGGAGAACACGTTGACTTCTGGGTTGACCTCAGGCAAGACGGACATTTTCCACATGAGGCACTGTGGAGGCAAAAGCCCGCGCTTCCTCCCTCTGCGATGGAACACCCTGAAGGTTCGTCCCGACAGCGGGTGCATGCCTGCTCTCCACGGTCCTGGTTTCCTCGCTGCCATAACAAAGACCACACACCAGGGGGCTTAAACCACAGAGGTCCGTTTCCTCACGGTTCTGGAGATTAGAAGTCCAAGACCAAGTGTCACAGAGATGGTTTCCCCCGAGGCCTCGCTCCCTGGCTTGTGAACGGCCGTCTTCTCCCTGCGTCCCCACATGGTTGTCCCTCCCTGTGTGTCTGTGTCCACATTTCCTTTTCCTATAAGGACACCAGTCAGATGGATTAGGGCCCACCCTATGACCTCATTTTACCTTAATCGCCTCTTTAAAGACCCCAACTCCAAATACGGTCACATTCTGAGGTCCTGGGGGCTAGGGCTTCAACATATGAATTTTGGAGGGACAAAATTTAGCCCATAACAAGCACCTGCTTCCCAGGGTTCTTCTATATAAGATGATGTTCCATGAATCACGCTGTGTTCACGGGAGCGGCAGCGCATGGACAGGTGGGCACTTCTGTCCTGGCCCCTCACCCCCTGCCCCAGCTGAGTCTCCAGAACTAGCTGGCGGCCCCGGCACCCTCCCCGATGGCCCTCCGGGAAAGAGTTGCACGTACTGTGCAGTCCTGTGGGTTTGTGAGGCCACAGGCTTTGTCCAGGAAACAGATGTGGAGTGGCCAAGCCACGGACACTTGGTCCACTGAACAACAATGACAGTGTGGCTGATGCCAAAGATGCGTCCAGACAAGTTCCTTGGGGGTGGGCCATAAACAAGTCCATCTGATGGCCTCCGTTGTTGGTTCCTGAGCCCCCGCAGGGCAAGGGTCACCCCCTGTTGAGCATCCAGTGAGAAACCCAACTCCTGAACGGATCCTAAAGTCGGCCTAAAGTGGCTTTTCTGGTCTCTTCTCGCGGGTGGAGTCAGCAGCACTGACTGGACCGAAACCATGTGCCCAGAGCCTTGGATAGAACGGAGAGTGCTTTGATGATGTGGTTTCTTGGAAAGTGGCAGGGTCAGGGTTTTGACCACTGCCAGCCAGGCCCCCTCCTTACAGGATCATCTCTGTCCCCGCAGCTGGCAGAGAGGGGGGCACAACATGGGCATGAGGCCCCCACTCATGCCCCTGGGCTCTGTCCAGCCAAAGACACTCTTTTTGGCCTCTGCCGAGCATCCTGTGCACAGACCAGGTGGCAAAAGTTCCCCTCGTTCTTTCTCCTCTACCTGGAGCATTTTCACAACGCCAAGGACGTGGCCTGGCATTCGAGGACCTGGAGGACCAATGGCTGGGCACTGGAACAGCTCCCGCCACCGGAGAAGGCCGATGACGTTCCTTACAAATGACCTGGGGAAAGGTGCTTCCTGGCACCGCTGGAAGGCCGAGCTGACAGAGGGACCAGACAGAGGAAGGCTAGAGCGCCAGGGCCCCCCATGTGGCAGGACGCACACGCCATCTTAGATCGGATAGTCAGTGGTTCTCGGTCATTCTCAGGATGACTCTGGGCGAGCCACCCAGCCCGCTGCACGTCTGTTCTCTGTGGGCTGAGCAGGTTGAAGCAGATGGTCTGGAAAGCACCCCTGGATAGAAGGTTTGGCCATTTATAACTTTCGAAGTTGCAAATAGATGAAGCAGAGACAGAAGACCAGGGCAGGTCCCAGCCAAGCGTTCATGATCAGTCTTCCATGGGACCGTGTTCCAAGTCCCCTGCTAATCCAGCAGAGATGTCTTACAACGGCGGGGAGCATTTGTGCTGCACCCTAGAGAGAAATTCCAGAAGCACCAACCTAGAGCCACAGCAGCGCCCAGTCGGCTGCAGTGAGAGTGGTTCCAGCCACACCGCTGTGACGTGTGCAGCGGGAGCAGACCACCTGTCCGCCAGACCACAGCCACAGACCTAGAAATGGCACAGGTCACCTGGAAGGTGGAAAAATGAAGAATTGTATTTGGCCTTGCACCCCGTGATTGGTGAACATCTGAATTCCTGTTTACTTGTATTTGGTGTGGACGGGGCTCCTGTCGCAACACACAGAAGGGAGAAGTCAGAATAGTGAAGGCTGGGGGGGTCCCATTTCTGCACCCCAAGTCTGTGCAAAAGCATGCTCAGAATTCAACCGGATTAGACCACACTCCAGAGAGAGCTGAGCTGCTTTGTCTTGCTTTGCGAGCTTGGCACGTGTGCTTTTCTGAGCGAAGGCAGTAAGGAAAGTAATAGAGTTTGCTTTATTAGAAGGAACACAAATTCGTTTTCCCACTCAGCTTCCATAGAACTCCCCATCCGATTACTAAGGCTTGGCCGTGCCCACCGGAGGCATCGATATCAACATGAAGAAATGAGTTCAGCTGGAGGGCGGTGATGTCACGCAGATGTTAAAAGGAATTTTCAGAGGGTGTTCCAGTGTTGGGAACAAGCCTGGTACCAGCCATCAAGATATGATCGCACATTCCCTGCCCTGCAGAAACCTACAACCTAAATCATGTCTCTCCTGAGAGGACCCATTCCCCTCCCTGCTCCGACCTAACAGCACAAACCCAGCTGGACTCTCAAAGCTTAGCTGGCTAACATGCATGGCCTCTGCAGACACAGGTGACATGCCTATGTGTGCCATGAGTAAGGTGGGACACGTCAGTGTCATATTTGGAACTTTCCAGAGAAGCGAGAGGAAAATTGCCATCAATGCTCATTAGATATTTTCCAGATTGGTGTCCATGGAGAAATTGGGATCACGTGGCCCCTGTTTGTTTTAAACCTTGGTTGTTATTACAAAAGTGACACTTGTTCATTGTAACTGTTAACCATCAAGGTGTCTTCTATGCCTGTGCCAACATTTTTCATTGAGCAATATTGTTCTGCAAGCTGGGACTCCGAGCATCCACGGGCGATGATGGGGAGGGGCTTTGTGGGACAGGGGAGGCCGAGCAGGCGCTGGCGAGCGTGCGTGGCAGAGGACTGGGATTCTGCACTGGGGTTTGGAGTCCTGGGGAGGTAGGCAGAGCCCGGGGGCAGACAAGCGGGAGCCTAGAGGTCTGGGGGGTTAATTAGTCTCTTGATGAACGGGACTGCTGGATTCGATCTCGGAGTTTAAGAGAGAAAACGACTAGGTCACTTTGATTTCAGCTGGGAAGAACGTCCTAGGGTCATTGTGCTCTGTGGCAGGGCAGGGAATTCGGCGAGGAGAGCGTTGCCAATGGGATGGCGTTCAGGCCCCCAGTTGCATTTCATTCAGAAATTTTAGGAGAAAGGACCAAGAAAAGAGGCTCTAGATGGACAGAGAGTGGCGCTAACGCGTGAGGAGTTGGGGCGGGTGCTGGGGGAACCCTGGTTGGGAGGAGATTGTCTGATGACGCTCGGCCAGTGACGGGTTGTTCTCCTGTGGATTTGGAGAGACTCCAATAATGATTCATCGTGTTTTATTTGGTCTGGTTACAAATGTCAAGTAGGCAGCATTAGAAATAAAACTTCTTTATGGCTGTTCAAGTATCACTTGGAACTAGATACCTTCAAACTCTCTGAATATTTGCCTGCCGGGGGAGAAATGCAGGGGAAAGTGCAGAGTCCTCGGAAGGCTCGCCAAACCAGTGAGCAGAGAGGTCCCCAAAGCGTGAGCTCCAATGCTGTGCGATTTGGAGGGAAGCCAGAAAAGGTCAGGGCCTCACCAGTCGAGGCTTAAGAGAACACTGAGCAGAGGTTGGTGGGAGAAAGGAACAGGGTTTGTAGAGAGGCTACGAGAGACCAGAATGAATGAAAAAGGTGGCTGGCGAAATGGGTGGGATATCCCAGCGTCCTTGGTCACAGGGGCCTTAGGTGGCAGATGGGGGAGAAGCTAAATGGAAGAAGGTTCAGGAACTGGCTCCTTGGGAGCTGGGGTGAGATGAGGAAAAGGCAGAAGAGTGAGTCCAGTGCCTTCTCGGGAGAACAGTGGAACTCGGGCAGTGAGTAAGCCGCTGGTCTTTGCAACTGGTGATCCCTTCTAGGGCTCCTCTGAGAGCACAGGCTGTTGGTGACAGGGACGCCAACACTGGCCGCTTATCTGTGTGCCACAGGAGCACGTGAGTGTGTGATTCCATAAGACGGGACACTCACGGGCCCCCACTGCCCACCCCTGGCAGAGCACCCCACCCTCGGCATCCCTCTTGAGCTCTGGGAATTCCAAATGGGGTGGCGGAATCGAGAGCTAGATCTCCAGAGCCCCCAGCGTAGGGAGCAGCGGCGCTCTCCGAGTGCGGTTCCTGACTCTGTGTTTCTTTCTCCCTCCTCCTTTAGATCACGTGTGTGGGCGTCTCCTCAGCCGGCAGCCCCGCTGTGCCCCGCGGTCGATGCCCAAGGTTTTGACTGTGTGGATTTGTGTCTCTCGGCAG